GTCAACAACGGAAAAATTCTAAGTGTGAAAATATTCGCAATTATATTTACACAAGAGTGTAAAACAAAACGATGATTCAAGAATTTCCAAGATCTTGGTACAAGAAGTCAAGAAACTGCAAGATGTTCAAGATCTTGACTTCTTGAAATTCCTTGAATTCTTATATTTTCCTATCAAGATTTTGAATCAAGATCTTACCGAAAAAATTCAAGAAGTTTCACTAGGGGATGTGTCTTTTATCACTCATCGATTCTCAATTTCATCTAGCTATCATTTTTATTTATATTTTTAATAATTTGAATTGTTGATTTTGTGTTAATATGAGAATATGTCGATACCCACATAATCATATGGCATTTGGATCAATATTTTTATTATTTACATGATCTTTTGCTCTCTAATGACTGAAAGATATCTCACAGATGAGTTTATTTTTACTTGAATAGTTCGATGGTGTTTAAGTCTGAAACGTTTGCAAGCACTGTAACGAATGTTGAAGAAGACTCGCGGTTTTCGCTGTTCGATTCTTTGAAAACAGGTCAAAAAAACAATTCTAAATATTTTCTGCTTACAAAACATGTTTGTAAGTCTTGGTTATCGAATATCGAAAACCATTTACGTTCGTTCAACAGTTATTCAAAGAATGGCCATCGATCTTATATTTTGGTTTCGATAATAGATTTAAGGAACAATCGAGTAGTGTCTAGTATCGAGTAATCGAGTCTGAGTAGCTCAAGTAGGACTCGGGCTAGATGCATATCTAATGAGAATAATTTTGAAGTTTTTTGGGGAGGTTTTTAAAATTTATTAGATTAATAGATTCCTGAGCATTTAGAGAATATTGCCTACAATATGTGGGGTTGATTTTCTACTTGGGCCAGTGTTTTTTTCCATTCTGTAAAACAGCTTGAATATTTGAATGCGATCATTCGCATTAGGGCATAGAAAAAGAGAAACGTTAGTTATAGGAACAGTCTCCCAATCCGAACGAAATAAACGTGCTTGTATTAAAACGTTTAGAACATATAAACTAAAGAAGCTTTTTCAAAAATCTTTTTATAGATCGATTCTCTTGATTATGAAGAACTTCGCATTTTAATAAATTTTCATTTTGTCAAGAAATAATAGAATTAGATGAACTTTACTCGATCTGAGAACTTTTCCGTTTGCATTAGGAACTTTTGCACTATATGTTCATTCTTCAGTGAAGAAGGGCATGAAAACATATGCTCTTTTCAGAACAAAATACATGGTTCATTCGCTCTAGTGTTCTGACTACACCTAAATAAAGTTGAGAAGGTTTTACTTCACTTGTTAAACGGAAAAAGATCTTCGAATGAGATGCATCTCAAAACGCCATGTATTTATATGGGATTGTCGAAATTAGAAAGAAAACATACGTGTCTTGTTGATACTCGAAAAAAATAAGAAAGCAAAAGTTTCGAGACACATATCTCTTTCTTTTTTGTTTTCTTCCCCGACTAGAAAAGGACATTAAGTAGAAAAATATAAGATGCATGTGATGCAAATTTCGAGCAAAATTTTTTTTTAAACTCATTACACATCATTAGGCAGAGTTCATCGAATTCTTATATAAATTTTATTATGTTTCTCTTGAAATTAAATTTTTTTCTTTCTATTCAATTGTAAAAAAACACAGTTATTTTCATATAATTAACGAACAAAAAATTCATCGAATTTATGGGTTTGTCGATAATTTCGACTTAAAAACTATCATTAATGGATTAAATCGTGATCGTAATTCGAAATTTTTTTGAATAATAATGTAATGAAAACATTAATGATCAATATTTACTTTTTTTAGATTGTATTCAATCATTCGCAGAATAGAACAATATTAACTATTATGGATTTTTTTCTTTTCTCTATTTGTTCGTATTATTGTACATTAAAGATTTTTAGTTTTATTATGGGAAAGGGCTTCGAAACAAGGCAAAAAAACTTTACTTTTTATTGAGTATTTTACTTTAGAAAGGATAGATACAACAATCTGCAAAATTTAATGGACCACCACCACTTTTTATATAAAATGATATATTGAGTTTTTGCCCGATATCTGTTGAAAATGTTTGATGAACGTTAGCTGTTTGACCCATAATAATTTCTCTATAACAATTGTAGTCCTTACAAACAGTTGGATCATAATAATATTCTGTACCACTACTAACTGTTCCTTGTAACCATGGTGAGAGAGTACCCCATTCAAAATCACCATTGGATAAAACATCATAATTATACACTGTATCTATCGCTTGTACATTATCTAAATAATAGGCATCTGGATCTTGACGAAAGTCAAACATTATAGTTGCGGTTGTTGACTTTGCTGTATAAATATAACTGTGATATGAATAATTTGTTTGTGCTGATACATTCGCTAGGCTGAATAATAATGTTGTTGCTGCACCTGCTAATGAACAAGATTGATAAGGAAATACTGTTACTGTTGTTGATGCTGGTGCTATAATGAAAAATAAGAAAAAACATGAAGTCATTTTATTTAAAAGGAATAAGAATAGTATTATTCAGTTCTAACGAGGGAATATATCCAACTGTCAAATCGCTTTCGAGCCGAAACCTAGTGGACTAAAGGTAGTCGATCTATGATAGCTGTTTTTCCCCACAGGCCTTTCCTAACCGGTTTCTGAAAAACTAGTTTTCCAGAAACCTCGAAAAATCCCCAAGGGTTTTTCTAAATAAGTTACAACTGTAGCCCGCAAGATTCTGATTAAAATGCGACATCTTCCAGCTCTACATGGCCTTTCTTTGCAAAGTTATAGAATTCACAACAAAAGCCCTAAATTCATCTTTCCTTCTTCTTTCTGTAGCTCTGAGGTGACAATAAACATTTAAAGCTTTTCTTGTGAATTCTATAACTTTGCAAAGAAAGGTCATGTAGAGCTGGAAGATGTCTCATTTTAATCAGAATTTTGCGGGCTACGGTTATGACTTATTTAGAAAAACCCTTGGGGATTTTTCGAGGTTTCTGGAAAACTAGTTTTTCGGAAACCGATTAGGAAAGGCCTATGGAGAAAAACGGCTATCATATTCGGAATCAGCATGATCGACTACCTATAGTCCACTAGGTTTTGGCTCGAAAGCGATTTGACAGTTGGATATGTTCCCTCGTAAGATGGAAAAATTGTATTATTTTTTAGAAAATTATGCCTCGACTGGGAGTCAAACTTAGGACTCTCTGATTAAGATTCTTCTATTTTATTTTTTATTTGTTCATCAAAAGTAGACGAAGTAAATATAGTATGTTCGTCTTAAAGTTGAGACAAAAAATTTGACTCACAGGCTGTTGTTGTTATTGTCGTAGTTGATTCTACAAGAAAGAGATACTGAAAATGATAATTATATTAAAAGAAATAACTTATATTTTATACGTGTTGTCGTGGTGGTAGTATCTGTTGAAGCTAGAAAAAGAATTAATTCAAGAAAAATATATCATTAAATTTAGCTATTATCTATCCATAACTTACATTTTTTTAAATAAAAACTAAGAATAACGGCTAATGCTATACAAGCAATTAATAATGAACCAATAATAAAACCACATATCCATATCTTATAAAACTGTGAAGTTAAACAGTTAAAGATAGTTCTTAAAAAAGATATAGAAAAGGTAGAATTAAATTAAATATTATACAGCGATAGATTTTATACCTCAAAAATGGATCTTTTCTTGGGATACTCTCGTTTGCTGATAATAATAATTTCTGGTCCCTTATTCTTGTTGATTGTAATGAATTCATACTTAATGAATTAAATTCAGGATTAATTTGTGATGCAGAAGAAACATTGAGTGATGGTTTAGCCGATTTTGAATCAACCATATGAAACGCACTTCGTATTGATTGTTTGCCCTTTGAATGTACTTTTCGTGCTAACCATTCTTTTTGTAAATAGCTGTCGGATGTATCCAAATCAGTTAGTTCCTAATATACCAAGATTTTATAAATAAAAATATTTAAGAATATATGATGAAATACATACCATAGTGAAATAAAATAAGATCAGTATATTCTATATGCGTATAATGATGAACCTGAATTTTTTCTTAAATTTCAAAGAAATCTACTCGAATATATAATGTCTTTATAATCTTCGTTGTAAACTAGTGTACATGATTTTTATTTCATTATCAAACATAATTTTTTGCTCTTATGCATTTCTATGAATTTTATTTTATTTTATTTTTAATTTAATCTAAATGTAACATAAAAAAACAGAACAAAAACAATAATTACAATGTGCCTAGATATTAGACTACAATAGAATTGACACATAAAGCAGTCACCTTTCTGTACTTTTCGGTATTTTGATTGAATATTTTCTTTGCAGAAAAACTAACTGATTTGAAAACAGTAGCCGCCCCCTCCCTTGATTCAAAAAAAACCTTGATTTATGAGATTTTTATGCACATAAGGAAATGTTACGTTTCTAAAATTCGGTTTCAGTTCTGATTGACACTAAACATACGGTCTGATAAAAGTCGATAAGCTATTCATAAGATCTGTCTTTGGAATCAAACTGCTGTTTTACCGAGATTTGTGAACAATATCTGATAAGAATTATATAATGATTAATGTCTTTATATCATTACGGAGTTTTGATCCGGGTGCGTGTCACCAGCGGAAAATGAACCACCACAACAAGAAATATTCTAGCAGCGGGTCTTGCTGCTCCCAACTCACTTATCAGTGCAGCACAAATGTTTGATAATACTTTTGTTTCAGAAAAAATTGTTCTGTTTCATAATAGAACTCTTTTATAAGGCTGAGATCATTGTACATAAGTAGACCACCCTGAGAAAACTATAGTTTCTTTGAAACTAAGTTCTCTAGCATGGAGTTTCCTGGAGATTTAGTAAGATGGACGATGAATGGGACATTTCTAGCACAGAAATGTGTGTTACAGAAAAGTGTAAAAAGTGAAAATTTATGAAATTACTGTACAAGGATTATTATTAGAAAAATGTGTACCCATATGAATTAAAATGAACAGAAGCTAGTTAGAGAAGTTGAGACATCTTCTTTATGCACCTCATCATTTTGATGAGTATATGTTGATAAAAAAAATAATGGAAAACTGAAAAGCTAAAAAGAATTAACTCTACGTGCTCGTACATGTTGTTAGTGTTTTGAAAATACAATGTGTACCGTTATTTTTTGAATAACTTGAGAATGCAACGAACCATCAACCTACGGTTCCACTGTTCGACAGAGGACTTGTTCTCGTTTCAAATATGATACTAGAATCGGAAAGAGCATGTGAACCTTGACTTTTATGAGATGCTTCAGCATTTTTTGACCGAATCTGGAGATTCATATTCGGAGTCAGCGTTAAACATTGAGTAGAATAAGATATACTGAGATACTTTCAAAAACTAAAAGTTGTCTTATTGAAATGAAAGATGTTTTAAATGCTTGAAGTGTTTTCCTGAGAGCCCCAAAATTGGACAAATGCCCTTCAATCATTCTAAAATGGGACAAGATAGGGGTAATCGATCGCTGTAAGACGGCCGATCCGAAAGCAGGACTTGGTAAATTTGACGTACTAAGCATCTATTTCGACAATGTGGATATTGATCGAAGCGAAGCAGCTTTTGATGCAGCATACAATCATGCTCGATTGAATGTGCCATGATCTCACAATATTAAGAACAAGATGCTCATGGTATTCGAAATCTCATGCGGAATGTTGCTAAACGGCTCAAGCTTCAAGGTTTCATCATTTCGGATCCGACATTTGAAAAATATTTCTACTTCAAAGGTCCACAATGGCTTCGCAGCGGAGAACTCAGATCGAAGAAGATGCGACGAATAGGCACGCAACGGTAACGATTACCGTTTTACCAGTTTAGCGTTCGTTATGAATGCATAAGAAAATTTATTAGAAAGTGAGATTATGTAAAGAGTATATTGATGTCGTTATTTTAACGGTTTCTTATTCCTTCCTTCGGTTTTCTTTTTATATTTTTATCGGCTCAAAAAGTCAACGAAGTAGATTGAAATAGTTTTTTGAATAAAGTCAACAGAGTAGATTGAAATCGTGTTTTAATTCAAAACACTACTTCACGCTACTCTGTTGACTTTTTGAGCCGATAAAAATATAAAAAGAAAACCGAAGGAAGAAATAAGAAACCGTTAAAATAACGCCACCAATACACTCTTTACATAATCTCACTTTCTAATAAATTTTCTTATGCATTCATAACGAACGCTAAACTGGTAAAACGGTAATCATTAGCGTTGCGTGCCTACCCAGTCAGACATCTATATGTTTTGAAAATTCGTTTTAACGCGGTTTTAGCTTTAAAATATCACGCGAAACTCTGTTTGCGAAAAATTTACCGTGAGAAATTCGTTTAAAAAAACAGCACCAGAATCGCGTTTGAGGTAATCGTAGCTTGCGTTAAACGCGCTAAATTTTTCGTAAACAGAGTGTCACGCGATACTTTGAAGCTAAACTAGCCCTTTTTCACGCTCTTTTTAGGAAACTCGTTTTTTTGCGGTACTTGGGCCAATCTCGCGTTTGTCGCGCTGCATTGCGTTAAAAACGCATTTTTCATTCATTATTTGTTATAGAAATGCCTCATTTCGCGACTTCAGTCTACGAAACGAGCTTTACGTGTCAAAGAAACTATCTTATAAATTTTGAAAAGTGAAACTCGTTTTCAAATTTCATTCCTAGCTGAAACGCATTAAATTCGTTTCAACTGAGTCAGAAACGCGAAAACTTCGGTGGCGTTAGTGAGTCTCAAAGTCTTTTGTGAGTGAAAATGCGTTTTTAAAAAGTTATAATGATCATAAATGCCTTTCTCGCGAATACTTGATGGCAAAAACGTGGTATCGATTAAGGCGTATATTTAAAACTCAAGAAATCCGCCGTATTCACGATGAAACTGTATATTTTCGTGCTCTGTGAATGCCAAAATCGCTTTAAGACGAATTTTCAAAACATATAGGTGACTGACTGAGTCTCATCTTCTTTCACCTGGGTTCTCCACTGACAATTCACTATGGGCCTTTCAAGTAGAAGTCCAACCGGCACAACGGTTACCGATAAGGTATAGCAAAATGGTAACGATAAACTGGCAAATTACCGTTACTGTTTCATGCCTAGTGGCAAAAGGATTAGAACATACTGCTGAAGCGTTCGTCGGCATCTTTCAGGAGAAGAACTTTAGAAAGGCGGTGATTCAAATTGCCGAGGACTGATCAATTTTATGAAGAACAATCGTTTGTTAATGCGATTTGTTAATAGGTAGCGTGAATAAAGTCTTCTTTTCGATAATCAAACGTATTAAGAACTTCTCTGCAGCTAAACGTACATACACTAACTGATTGTAGAAGAATGAAAGCGAGAGAAATTTTTTGCAGAAGAAGTAGATCGCAGCCGAAAATTGGATTTTATCCGAGATAAAACAGTATAGATATTTCATGAAAATACGTTTTGTGTTTTAACCTTAAACGTCAGTAACTCACATAATTTATCAATTCATTATATTCCTGAGAAATGTCGATACCACATATTCCATTTCCTGAACATTGCCATAGAATGTGTATATTCCCTTGGGAACGCATACATTCCCTGTAACATATAAATGGAAACAACAGGCTAGAATATCTCATGACAGTTGTTATTGTTTTTTAAACTTTAATCTAACTAGATATCATCTGACTTCATATCAGCAAAAACACTGAGTTCTGAACTTTACTTCTCATCTCTCCAGTCCAATGCCCACTGGAAGCTGGTTATCCCACTGCATCTGTGCCCAAAGGTACTGAGGCAATATGCACGATAGACTGACTTTGTCTACATGTATGTGTCTGTACACGATTTATTTGTATGTAATTTCCGTTTCTGGAAAGCAGTAGCCGCTAAAGGTGTTCAGTATAAGTGACGAATATAGCAAGTAGAGAGTCGGCAGATTTGTGAGTACAATGTGCTTATAAGTTTCGCTAGATTTCAACAGTATCTTTGAGATATAATGCGTAGAAGTTGCTGTTTCATTGACAAATGTGATATATGTGCCAACTACATTATATTTGTGTAAGTTTTTGTAACATGCAGAAAGCAGAAATCACAAGCGACGAAAAATGTCGTATCGTCACGCTCGGGCAAGCCGTCCTGTTTTCGCCTTCTCAAATGTGAGTACAAACCTGTTGTACCCCATTTTGGAGAGAAAAATCTGCTCGAAAATCGTACGCATTCAGAACACCTTTAGAACTAGATTCTAGAATCACGTCATGCAAGGTGATCTCGCCTGCCGAAATATTCTTGTGTTCCGTTTCGATGAACAAGAACCAAAAAACAGTCTTGTGGAAGTCACGGACTTCGGCCTCAGTCGGGCAAGCTCGATCTACTCAAGTACATCATCTTCGGCCACAAATACACTCGTTCCTGTCCGTTATGAGCACCAGAAGTTCCAACAAATCCAGACTCTAAAAATCTTTATATCAAGATGTCAGACATGTATTCGATAGGTATATTAATTCGGGAAGCCTATTCGAAAGGAACAATGCCTTGGGCAGACGTACATGATGAGAAGGACGTTATACAGAAAGTAATTAACGAGGAAAGATCATTACAGCCGAAAATATGTAATGAAGAAATGTTATCGCTTATTCTATCCACTATGAAACATCAGCCAAGCGATCGACCGTCTTTTGCCAGTTTAAACGTCTGCTAGTAATTGAAAGTCACATCGGGGACCAAGTGAATACAGTTCAAACGACAGCAGAAGTTTCAACAAAGTTAAGAGACGAAAAAGACGCTAAATAGATTAACCCATATAGTTCAGAGATTGATCTATTCTGTTCAAAATTATCAGTTAATGAAATAAAACTGATAGCAGAGGATCTGAGACAAAACAACAAGGTGGTAGCCGTGAATTTTGGCTGAAATCATTTATCAGACGAAGGAGCTAAAGCTATTGCTGATGCACCGAAGAATATTTGATACTTTGTATCTCAATCACGGGAACAAAACCTCAGATAATGGAGAGAGAGAGAGCCATCACCGAGGCGATGAAATAAACAAATAGCATAATCCATCATTTTCGTCTGGATGTTGACATTTTGCTTGTATTTACGAACTAAACGAGCTGCACTGATTTTCACTTGTCCTAGATTTAGCTGTTTTTGAGTCACATAATTTAAAAACTTGCTTCCACGCTATTAACATGACTTTTTATTTGTTGTCAACACATACTAGAAAAGAGAAGATGAGAAAACCCTAAAAAAACTCTTATAATCAAACGTGTTAGTGTAAATGATGATAAAATAACAAAATCTCTTTGATCTTTAAAATTTTTGTTTGAAAAAAGGATAAAACGTAATTTCATGCTCTGGCCTATATGTAATATGAAAGAACACAATTAATTTTAGAGAAAAATGATTATTACTATTTGTCCAACAGCAAGCGAAAGGTGATATAAGGATGATGGACTTCAACACAGCACGAAAAACCAAAAACTTGTCCATATTTCTCTCCGGATTCTGTTGCTTCTGCTCAATAGACACGTCAGAATCTCTCACTCTCTCTCTCTAAGTAGTGAGTGACATCAATTGCGGTAGAAGATTATGAACTTTGGGTTATATTAGGAAAAAGCTATAAGAACTTTTGAGTGTGTAAGAACTATAGGGACTATGAAAGTTACTAGTATACTTTGGGAAGATTTGGCTCTCTGGAATGTTATTCACTAAGCAACGCTGTTCGACGACTCACTCTCGTCTGTGCCAAGAATCCTCAACCGCTTACGAGCGTAGCTGTAAAGCATAATCCAAAAATAAATAAAACACACAGAATCCAGCGAACTTTGATTATAAAACAAATTAGTATACAAGAATAATAGTCTATTTAATTTAATCTTTGAATGATGCTTCGAAAAAATTCAAAAGCCAAAAAAGAACAAACCGAATAGAGTTATATTTCGTTATACCTCCATTGAAACGTCGCTGTTTATTATTCAGCAAAGCAAAAATTAAAAGTCTTTAGTAGAAAGAACATCGGCATTACTTTTCCACTTTTGCAATGGTAAGTAGTTAGTAGCGTTATACGTAGGTATTTGTACATTCCTACATGATAAATGAGCAATTAATTGTTTTCTTTGTTTCTACAGGGTAGCTATGGTAGAAATCTCGTTGGATGGCACAATAATTCAAAGTTAAATGTATAAATCCATTATTAATTGTTTATTCCATAAGAAAATTCTCTTTCTATGAGAAATCAGAAGAACTGGAAAAATTCAAAAATAAGGTGAGAATATTGAAATTACTCCGCTTGTCGCGTGTGTCTGTTCTTATTTAAAAGTAATTCCTGTATGGAAAGAAGGTTTATTTCCACCTCTATTTGGAATGATGATTCAT